AATCTTTTTTAAAAATAACAATAATAATAATAAAATATTAGTATCTGTATTGATAAAATGTCAGGGCTGGCTGGGGAGACTACACCAAAGGATTAAAATGCTGGTTTTCTCTGAAATGGAGAGAGGGTTACAAGGGGCTTCCATATTATATGTTTCTGAACATATGGTCTGATTTTCTATAATGAAATTCTACAATGAATCTATACGATATGAATTTTTTACAATGAACATTCATGAGTTCTATAAAATCCCCAAATAAAGATATTTTTAAAATGAGATTCTCAGTTTACAACATACAATCAAGACCGTCCAATTCAGCAACACTTAATGCACCTAATGATGGGCCAGGCCCTCACCTGAGTGGAGAGGCAGCTTCTATATAGAAGAGCAGAGGAGACAGGGAGCGAACCTGCTGGGTGGCCTTGGGAAAATCACCTAACTTCTCTGAGCTTCACTCTCCTCTTTTCAAAACACAGATGTGACCATAACTGTGATGCAAATGAAGGCACAGACCTAGAGGTTCTGGGCACGTGCTCCTCACCAGGAACCATCTCACACGGTCCCTGAACAGCCCCGCTGGGTGGGTACCCTGAGTGCCTCCATTTTACAGAGGAAGAAACTGTGGCTCCTGGAGGTGACCTGGAAGGCCCGGATCACACTCACAGCAGGCGGCGGCATCAAGATGCAGATTCTGTCTGAGTCCCAGGTCAGAACCCCCCACCTAGGTCCGCTCTGCCCTCCCCTTGTCCCTCTGCTCCTGGCTTCCAGATAGGGGGTGTCACCGTCTAGACCACTCGACAACCATCTCTGTGGTTTACGCATTTACTATTTGTTCCCCCCAGAAGGCCGGTTCCACGAGGAGGGACTTGGTTAGGCTCACTGGCACATCCCAGTAACTAGGACCGTGCCTGGCACGGAGCAGCTACCACAAAACTATTTGTTGAGCGAATTCATGAAAAGTGAAAGAATTCCCTAGTAAAGAACCGAAGAGGGACACCTGGATGGCTCAGTCCGTTGAGTGTCTGCCTTCGGCTCAGGTCATGATCCCAGGGTCCTGGGATGGAGCCCCACATCAGCTCCTTGCTCAGCGGGGAGCCTGCTTCTCCTTCTGCCCGCTCTGCCTGCCGCTCTCCCTGCTTGTGCTCACTCGCTCTCTCTGACAAATAAACTCTTTAAAAACAAAAAAAATTCTTTTTAAATAGAGAAAAAAAAAAAAGAACGAAAGTCACCCTGGGGTCATGGAGACCAAGCATTGCCCCTTCAAGGTCACAGGGCTGAGGAGGACGTGCACCAGGTCCCTCATTTCCACTAAGCCCTGCCGCTCCCCAGTCCAACACCTCAGCTCAATAGCCCCGTCCTCGGCTGCCCGAGGCTCGGGAGTAAGTCTGGTCAGAGAAGGGTCGGGATAACAGTGAAGACGGCTCCGTGCATTTCTGGCTAGACCTCTGCCTTCAGGGCTGTTTGTGCCTCCGTTTCTGAACCGGGAACACGGCACCTGCTGTCCCTCTGACTCAAGGTGGAGAAGGACCAGGAGGAATACGCAGAGCTCGCCCTTCCTGCCTCATTCCTCCCTCACCACTGGCTGGGCCGGCCCGAGGTGCCCGAGGTACCCGAAGTACAGCCAGTCAGACCCACGCTCCAGCCCAGGGCAGGGGCTGGTGCTGTGAGGAGCTGTCCCCAACACAGGGCCACGGGGTCAGGGCTGAGAGGCCCCTCGTTTTCTGACACATCGCTGTGGACTGGACGAGAAAACAGAGGCCCAGGGAGGGAAGGGAGGTGACTCCGGACAGGAAGGAATCCATGGCGGGTCCAGGCAGTATAAGAACGTGAGTGTTGCCTCCCAGCTCAGGGCTCTCCTCTCTGAGCACAGGAACACCCAGGACAGACCCCGTCTGCTCCACATGGGTACCGGCCCCCATTCCCGCGTCCTGACCAAGGGGAGCCAAGAGCATGCAGTCTGAGACTGACAGGCCAGGCAGGGGCCCCAGCTCTGACCACAGCCCCGGCCTCCCTACAGACACCGTCAGCCATGACACGGGCTTCCTCAAGCATCTGCTGGGGCACAGAGGCCTGACCGGCGGGCCGGAGACCTGTGACAGGCCCGCGGCCTCTGGGTCCCACCGGCTGCCGTGGGGGGTCAGGGGCCTGGCAGGCACCAGGTCTGGCTTCTCGGGAGCCAGATGAGGCCAGTAGGAGAGGTGGAGCAGGAGACACAGGTACCAGAGCCCGGGCGTGGGCGTGGATAGCTCAGCGACTCTACCATTAGACTCCGTGGTGGTTCAAGGGCCTGGGGCCTGGGCCTCCAAACAAGCAAAGAATCCTGCTAGGTGTCTAACTCCCCACCCCCCGCCCCCACAGCCTAGGTAATTACCAGTTAAAACCACTCAAACTGAAAGAGTTCTACTAGTGCAATTAGCACATCAGAATAAAGAAGGCCCTTCTGACAGCTGGCTGGGCCCGCCCACAGACTGGGCTTCCGCCGAACAAAGATCTGCCTGTTAATCCCACAGCGTCCGAGGCCTTAGATCTTAATGAAACACGCACAGACAACGTGGGAAGAAGCTGACATCTGGAATCCACAGGCCCTGGATGATGTCATGGATGTGCTGTGTGGCCCTGGGCTGGCCATTTAACCTCTCTGAGCCCATGAAAAGGGGGCTGGTAAAAGAGCTTACATGTTACTAGATGGATGAAACAAAGACTCTTCAGGCTATAGAACTTCAAGTGCTAGTTTTTATTCTAAAAATAGGTAAAGGGACGCCTGGGTGGCTCAGTTGGTTAAGCGGCTGCCTTCCGCTCAGGTCATGAACCCCGGATCCTAGGATCGAGTCCCACATGGGGCTCCCTGCTCAGCCGGGAGCCTGCTTCTCCCTCTGCCTGCTGTTCCCCTTGCTTGTGCTCGTGCTCTCTCTCTCTGACAAATAATCTTTTTAAAAAATTAAAAATAAATAAATACTAGAAATTGGTATAGACAACTTTTGGTTGGCTTTTAAAATCTGTTTCTGGGTTGCACATAAGAAGTGTGGGACATTCCCAACACACCCAGCCAAGGCTGGGCAGCTGCTGGGAGGGACTGGGGTCGGCAGGACCAGGCCAGGTGCACCTACAAGAAGGCTGACTTTCTGCTCCTCCCATCTATCAACCAATGACATAATAACCTTGACGATGCATTGATCTCTACGAGCCCCATTTTACAAGGAAGGATCTGTGACTCCAAGAAGGCAAGGGATTTGCCTAAGGTCACCCAGCAGAGGCAGGAGAGAAATCAGACTTGTCTGAGCTAAGGGTGCTGCTGGATTCACAATAGCTCCCACCAAGGCTGTGCACGCCTTGACCCAGGGGATGCTGGGGAAGCAGGACATTGGCTGGGCAGTGACTCACTCTAATGGATGTTGCCCTTAGGGACATTCTCAGGATGACTGTGTCCACAACCCCTCTTGGTTGTGAGCCCCAGGTCAGCTTGTCCTGAGGACAGGGCTCTAGCCTCAGTTCCACACATGGTCTCTTTTGTCCTGAGTCTCCCACCCTGCCCTTAACCAGGAAGGTGGCATTCAGAACCCACTGACCAAGTCCTATGCCTGGCACCCGGCTCTCAGCAGAGGTTAACAGCCACTTCCTGCTGCTCACTCCCCACCTCAGCCACCCACCAGCTGTGGGGTGTGGGGGACAGAGGTCTCCTTGGCTGTCCACTCCCCCTGCCCTAGTAGAGGAAGCAAATGGCTGAAAACCCCCAGAAAACCTGCTGTTGCTCCATCCCCTGGGTTTCTCTGCCTAAACCCCTCTGGAAGCTCTCTCCACCCTGAAAGCCTGCCCTCCTGACAGTAGCAATACCACCTCCTTGAGGACTGGATGTAGGGCCAAACAACCTGAGCCTGTCCTGATTGGGCCAGGGAGAGGCTGTGCTATCCTGGGCATGACACTGTCTCTCTGAGCTTCACTGTCCTCATCTGGGAGATGGGGAGGAGCATCATTTCTGTTCCCAGGGTTGTGCGGAGGGGTAAGGCTGTAGGTGAAGGGATGCTGGTGGCCTTGGCAAGGGTCCTGTCCCCACCTCAGCCTGAGCGGCAGTCCTTGAATGCCCAGATCCAGTCTGGTGTCTGCTCCAGCCCAGACCCCTGGCCCTCACTGGCCACAGACAGGAAGCAAAGCAGATAGGGGACATTCACGACTAGATTAAAGAGCATTTAGTAATGGGAAAGACATCTTTGAGTACTCTAACCACAAACGGCTCCACGACTTGGAGAAAAAAATTCTGCAGAAAGGAAAGGCTGGGCTTTGTGTGGAAGAATGACGAGGGTCCAAGCGGCGTACTGGGTCCTTCCACGGGCCTGGACACTCACTGCATGCCAGCCATGTCCCAGGTGCTAGGCCCAGGGTGACAAGATCAGGGACTGCCCCACTGAGCTCGGAGTCTACTCCTGCCCCGCCCGCTGCCCTGACAGCCACACCCTCACCTACAGGAATTGGGGCTCTGGCCAGGGAACAGGCAGCTGTGCACTCACGACACCTGGGTTCTCAGCTCCGGTCACTTTGATGATGTGACCGGGGCTTTCCACACTGAACTTTGTCCCTCTCTCCAGTACCGCCCTTATCACTGTGACAGCATCCGGTCCTGTTTACTCATCTGTCTCCCCAGGACCAGACGGTCTTCCTGGCACTGCCCGGTCCACCCGACATGAGATGATGATCCCTACCCTTGGGTGTGTTCGGGAGCGGGACGAATGCGCACATCCCTGCGACTCACATTCGCGCCTCTGCCCCTGCCGGTCGCCCAACCCACGAGGCCCACAGTCCTTGGACTTGGTGGCCCTGAGCTCCACACGTCCCACCCCTCTGTGGGGGCGTGGCCACGACCAGGGGGCACCTGTTCGCCGCAGGGGCGCACACTGGCCAAGCTGGTGCACGGGCCCCTGCCGCCCGTGCTGGGGCCCGGGGGCCCGTCCGCACCGAGGCCGCACGGTCACCGGCGCCCCGGACGCCCAGCCGGCGGCCGCACTCACCCATGTTGACGAAGCTCATGACCAGGTCGGCGCGGCCCGGGGGCCGCTCCGGGGGGCCGCCGTCCTCGTCGTCGGCGGCGGCCATGGCGTGGTACAGGTCCAGCATGAAGAGCGGCGCCGACGCGGGCAGTCGGGCGGCGGCGGGCGGCGCGCGGGGCCGGGGCCGCCCGGGCAGCCCCAGCACCGCCAGGATCTCGCGCTGCATGTCGCGGCGCTCGCGCGGGCCCAGGCGGCGGGCCGGGCAGCCGGCCGGGGGGCGCGGGCCGGGGCCGCCGCCGCTCAGCGCGCACAGCGCCAGGCCCACGAGCCACAGCGGCCCGGGACGCGCGGCCATGGCGGGCCGGGCGGGCGCTCAGCGGGCGCGCATCCGCTCCGCGGCCGAGCCGGGGCCGGGGCCGCCCCGACGGCGAGCGGCGGCCGAGGCTCGCGGTCGGCGGCTCGGGCGGGCTCGCCGGGGCCGCGGCGCTGTCTCAGCGCGTCTCCCGCGCCGCACCTGCTGGGCTCCCGGCGGCGTCGACGAGGCCTCCGGCGCCTCGCGGTAGGAGCTCCTTCGGGGCCCGGGGACAGGCGGCCAATCTGTCTGTGGCCGCCGTGCCGTCAGGCCGCTGCTGCCGAGGCCGGCTCGGAGGCAGGGGCGGCGGGCAAGTTCCCGTCCGCGCTGCAGGCGGCGCGGACCCGCGGGCGTCTCCTCAGTGGGACCTGCCGTCTGCGCCGCGCGCCCCGCCTCCGCCGCCCGTGGGGCCCGCGCGCCGCCGTCGGGCCCCGCCCCTTCCGGCTTCGACCAATGGGGGCGCGGGGCGGGGCCAAGGCCGCGGAACCGACGCCGCGGGAAGGGGCTGGGGATCTCGGTTGGTGTCGCGGGTGCTGGCGACCCCGAGATGTGAGCCGCTGTTGGGTGCTGGACGGCCGGGTGAGGGGTCCCTGTCCAGCCGTCGGAACTTCGGAGTCGTGCTAGGCTCCTCTCCCAGCCACTGGGGGCGTCGTCGGGCGAGCGAGGGGCCTCGGCCTGGGGACCCCAGGGTAGCGGCGCTGTCTGGGGAAGTCGGGGACCTGCACTGCGCGGGGCGCGTCCTCGAACCGTCTCGCCCGGGCGGGGATCCGGAGTCTCCGTCCCACCTGGGAGCCACCCGGCAGTCCCGCCTGGTGCGCATTGTGTCGCTCCGGGACCTGAAAGGCCTCAGTAGGGTCTAGAGGTAGGGGGGCACCGCAGGTGCCAGTCGCGCCCGGAGAGTGGGACGCGTTCCTCCGCCAGCCGCCGCCTCCGCAGTTCCTCCCTGGCCACCCAGCGCCTTCCCCGCTGTCCCCTTGCACGCGCTGTTGGGGGCTTCTCCTTCCCCGACACCTGCTCAGTCTCTGCTCCCGGGCGCCCACACACCTGGCTCCCGCGTGCTCGCGGCCCGCGCCCCAGGCGGGCTCCCCACACTGCCCGATGTTCCCGCGACCGCATCGTCACCGCAAGCTCTCGCTGTGCGGCCTGCGGCCCCCGGCGCTGATCCCGCCGCGCACGGGAGATGCGCACAGGCCTCCAGCCGGGCCAAGGAGCTCTGCGGCCCTTCCGGAGGGCCCGGGAAGCTCCCTTTGCGCGTCTTAATTGTCAGGGCCCCCAAGGGCTTGCAAGAGAAGGCTCTGCACGGAAACCCCTCCATTGACTCAGCCCCCTTCCGCACACTCCGCCCTTCCTGGGCGCCCTCTCGCTGCATTTATTCATTTACGGCTGAGGCGCTGCGCTGGGAGGAAGTGACACCTAGACTGAGCTCGGAAGGCTGGAAGGAATGGGCCTGGGATGACAGGAAAGGTCAGTGGGAGAAGAATGTACCAGGCAGAGGAAACTGCTGGTGTCGTGCGACTCCAGGGAGCGTAGTGCAGGTAGCACTCCGCACTTAGCTTGTGCCATGCGTGCTCTGCGTCACCGCTTTAATGCTCGCACATACAGGGTAGACGCCATTTCAACCCCTTCTTTTGACAGACGAGGAAACTGAGGCGCGCAGAGGTTAAGGACTTCCCCTGTCACAGAACAGTGGAGCTAGGCTTGGGCAGGTGAGTTCAGTGGAACCTGGACAACCTGGGGGGCAATGGCCTGGGTGAGGGTAAGGCTGAGGGCCTGGCAAAGGTTGGACCCAAAGGACCTTGCAGGAAGACTAGATGAGGGCCCTGGACAACAGATGGTTATGGGGCCCCAGTGTGGGTTCGCGATTAAATTTCAAAATAAATTAAGAAGTCCACCAAAATTAAGAATTCTTCATGATCACTTAAACTTTTAAAAAGTATCAAAACTGGAGTGCTTAGCTGGCTCAGTTGGTAGAGTGTGGGACTCTTGATCCCGGCTTGTGAGTTCAAGCCCCATGTTGGGTGTAGCGATTAGTTCAAAAAGTTTTTTAGGGGCGCCTGGTGGCTCAGTTAAATGTCTGCCTTCGGCTCAGTTCCTGATCCCAGGGTCCTGGGATCGAGCCCCGCATGGGGCTCCCTGCTCCGTGGGAAGCCTTCTTCTCCCTCTCCCACTCCCCCTGCTTGTGTTCCCTCTCTTGCTGTGTCTCTCTCTGTCAAATAAATAAAATCTTTAAAAAAAAAAATCTTTTAGAAATATCAGAACTTTGGGGCACCCGGGTGTCTCAGTTGGTTAAGTGTCTGCCTTTGGCTCAGGTCGTGATCCCAGGGTCCTGGGATCTAGCCAGGAGTCAGTCTCCCTTCTCAGCGGGAGAGTCTGCTTCTCCCCTTCCCTCTGCCTCTAACCCCTGCTCATGCTCTCTCTCGCTCGCTCGCTCACTCTCTCTCAAGTAAATAAATCTTTAAAACAAACCAAAAAATATCAGAACTTTTACATCAAATTTTAAATCTAAACAGTCATTTGTTGGGGCACCTGGCTGGCTCAGTCGGTAGAGCATGCAACTCTTAATCTTAGGGTCCTGAGTTCAAGCCCCATATTGGGTGTGGAGCCTACTGTACATAAATTAATAAACAAAGAAACAATCATTTGTTGGTGTCTTGGGCCCATGCTTAGTCTGCCTTTTACCCAACGGGTGAATTTCTACACTGTTTATAAGCCCCTTAAAGATGTTGCAGCTTAGCCACTGAAGATGCCCAAGACAGAGTCTGCTGCAGGGGCAAATACGGATTGGAGGGACGAAGATTAGAGTCAGGGCCCACAGTGGGAGGCAGGTACAGTAATGAGGGCGGGTGGACAATGACCATGATCCTTTTTGGTGACAGGGTGGAGGGTGGAGGAGAAAGCAGTTGAGGAGGCTGCATCCCCCGGGCTTGGTGACTGCATAGAGAGGCAGGGGCAGAGTCAAGGGGGCATCCCCGTGTCAGGCTTGTTCAGGGTCTCAATCTCCTGTCCTCTTCACTGTCCTTCTCTGGGCATCCCTCTGTACTCCCCTTGGAGTCCACACCACATCATCTGGAGCCTCAGGTCTAGCCTGTAATCCTCAGGTTGTGTATTGTACAACACTGGGCTTCCAGCTAGACTGTAAGCAGCCCAGTGTGGGCTGATTCTTAGAGCAGAAACCATTTATCTCCATTTAGGGTGAGCAGAGATAGCTGTGTTCTTTAAACAATGGGCCTCACATTCCCATAAACCTAAACATCAGGTTTTAGCCATTCCAAAGGGTGTCAGCCCACAACTCAGTTCAACAGCAACCACCATGGGCCGCTCCATCCTCTGCCCTGAACGAGAGATGAAGCCAACCAGTCCCTGCCCCCTAGTGGCCTGGGCCCCCAACCGGGGTGATAGTCAAGTGAACACAGTCTGTACAGAAGGCAGAACCGAAGCTGCGCTCCGAACCCCAGGGCTGGCAAAGCGCCTGGAAGGGCAGAGGACAAGGAGCTGGGACGTGGGGGTGGGGATGTGAGTGGAGTCCTAGAACTCAGAAACTGGAAGGGAACTGAGGTGGGAAGGTCTCTTGGAGAAAGTGGTGTCAAACAAGGGCTTTCCCCAGCCACCTGGTGCGCCGTGACCTTGGGCAGTTTCTGAACCTCTCAGGCTGTTGCTCACCTGTGAATGGGGTCACGACGGTGGGGTTGTAGACTGAGCACTTAGCACAGTGACTGGCCTATGGCAAGTAGTCAGTAAATGTTAGCTGTTGTTATTATTAAAATATTATTATTACACTATTCAAAGGACTAAAAAAATAACTTGCTTATTGTAGAAACTTTTGAAAATATAGAGAGGTAAAAAGGAGAACAAAAATCACCCAAACCCATATTCCTGAGAGAAATACTGGTTAATATGTGGTAGGTCTTTTTCTTATATACATCTGTATATTTTTAGTACAAAAAAACCCATAACCATGCTTGCCTTATTGATTTCATAATTTATTGCAATATTTCACCATGCCATTATTTATTTCACATATAGTATTTTATTGGTTTCATGATTTTTTATGATATGACTATCCTAATGTATTTAACCAGTCCATGTAATTGAATAATACGTTTCTTTTTTAATATTACATGCAATGCTGTTATGAACAATCTTGTTCATCACCCTCCATGATGATTTCCTTAGGATAAGTTTCTAGAGATAGAATATTTGGATCAAAGGGCATACTTGGTTTATAAGGTTTTTGCTACATATTGTCTGTTACCCAAATCGTATGACGGTGCCCATTTTCTTTCACCTTTGCCACTACCAGGTATTATTGTTAAACACATGAATCAGTATATCTCTGCTGATCCGACAAGTAAATACACCTCTCTGCTGTTGTAATTTGCACGTCGGGGGATTACTAACTGCTCTGTTCTTGAAACTCTCTCCTCCCTCGGCTCCCAGGACACCTGCTCTCCTGTTTCTTTCCTTCCTCAATTACTCCTTTCTGCCCATTCTTAAACACTGATGTTCCCCTGCTTCTGTCCACAGTCCTGTTCTCCCTCTTGGACTTTGAACCTGGTGATGATGAGCTCACCCACCTGAGACTTCATTGCCGTTACATGGTCATGCCTAACTCCAAATGTATGCCCTGCACAGACCCTCTCCTAAAACCAGGAGTTATATCCAAAAGGGATCAGACATGGACGAAGCCTGAAACCTGGGAGCCAATGTGTGTTCCTCCCTCCAAAGGCAGTTCAGTCTATTGATTCTACCTTCTGATGCTTCTTGAATCCTCTGAGCCTTTCCGTGCCCTTCTCCTATGTGCTTCTGGAGGGTCTTCTCCATCCTGCAGGGCTCTAACAGGCTTCCTTTCGACTGGTCTCCTTGTTTCTCATTCCCCATCCCTCCCACACTCCTCATTCCCCAGAATGAATCTCTAAATGAAAATGTGATATCTGTAAATGGCTCAAAATCCTCCCATGGCCTTTCGTTTCTTACAGCAGGATTATCCAAACTGAGGTTTGTGAGGGGGTTCCTACGAAAAGGACTTTGGTAAAGGCTGCACACTACATTTCTCCCTTCCCCCAGGGGAGCCTTCCTGTAACTGGCAGTAAGCTCTGGGAAGTCCTGCAGTGAAGAAACTACTTAGCTTTAATTCATTGTCTTCCAAATGCACTTGGCCACGTTTGGGGGCTGGGGGGTTGAAGGACACATCTTGGGGACCAGGAGGGCATGATGTGATCATGTGATCAAGTGCCCAGCACTCAGTGGTCTGGCCTCCAACACTGGGTCCCTGGTGGTGTCTCCTCTTTATAGTCTTATCTAGCCACCAGTGGTGTACCTTTGCTGCAGTCATGCGGAGCTACCTGTGGTCCCTTCACCTGTCCTGTTGCAGACATTTCTGTTCACCTGCACCTGTGCTCTGTCAAATAAATAAATAAAATCTAAAAAAAAAAAAAAAGAGCAGAACAGTTTTCCATAAGAAAGATACTACAGGAATGGAGATTATTCAATGTTCCGCCAACACATTCAACCTTTGCATTTTGTGATCTGAGGACCTGTTTAATCCTATCACAGGATCCTCTCCAGAGCTCCTATGTCATGACTGTGTCAGACACAGAGGATGCCAAGGGCTAAGTGCACTATCCTGCCTCATTAAATGACTGCTAAGGGGCCGAGAGTGTGCCTCCCTCACCTTTCTGCCTGGCTGCATCTAGGAGGCTGGGAAAAGCCAGCACATCGTGTTCCCAAGGTGTGCTTACATGCCAAGAACAAACAAACATAATGACACAGTTCCTGTCTTTGTGGGGAATCTCCAGCCAGTGGGTCAGGTCACCTCCTATTAATGGACTAAATGCTCCAATTATGTCAAAGATTGTCAGATGACTTAAAAGAGAGAGAAAAAAATAGCAAAAGAGCAAAGGACAAGCTGTCTCTAGGAGATGCACTGTAAATATAACAATACAGGTTGAAAGTAAA